CGGCGGCAGCGGCAGCAAGCCGTGGACCCAAACGCCGTGCCGCCGCCGCCGCAGGCAGCACCCCTGCGACGGCGGCGGCAGCAAGCCGTGGACCGAAACTCCGTGCCGCCGAGTCCCGTGGCTGTGGCCGTGGGCTTCTGGCAGGAAACTACGGCCGCAGCTCGGCAGCACGGGGGCGTCGCAGCGTGCCGCCGCCGCCGCCGCGCTGCCCCCCCGGGCACGGCGGCGGCGGCAGCAAGCTTGGGCCCAAACGCCGTGCCGCCGAGTCCCGTGGCTGCGACCGTAGACCGTGGGCCGGAAACTGCGGCCGCAGCTCGGCGGCACGTGGTTCTGGTCAAATCGCCAAGCGTGCAGCAGCGCCGAACCACGCTTCCCGGCCTCGGCGCATGCCTTCAGGGGCCCCCTATCGCTGGGCACACCCCTCCAACACCGAACATGCGCCCGGGGGGGAGGGCGGCCCGGGCTGCCCAGGCCAAAGTGGGCCGCCCTCGAGCAAGAGGCGGCCGGGCTGTGTGCTGAATGAATGAATGAATGAATGTCGGTGGCAAAATTGTAGTTAAGAATGTCGGTGGCAAAATTGCCTCTGCCATTCTGCACACAGAGGGAGAGGAAGAAACAGGCTGCGATGGGCGGTGGGTGCGCGGCCATGCTGCCACCACTCCCAGAGCGCCCGAGCTCCCAGCATCCGCGGCCTTACCCTATTGTCAGCGTATGTCCAGAACTTGTACTGCAGGGGGCTTGCGCCGCTTGCTGGGAACACGTACTTCCTCTGCAGAGGGGCAGCAGTACCACACAGACCGGGGGAGTGTTGTGAGGCGCATAGGGAGGAATGGAGGGTGTGCAGCCAGAGCTGCCCCTGCCTGCAGCTGCCCATGCGAGACTGCGCCTGCCGCTCAGGCATATGCAGCCTCACCCAAACCACTCCGGCACGCGTTGGACCAGGCAGGCCAAGCGACGAGTCACTCTCAAAACGGTTGCCTGCCGCGCCGCCGGTGGGCTGGCCGAAGATCTTGTAGCCATTAGCACCTGCACAGTAGAGTGGCAGCAAGGGGTCTGGAATCAGGGGGGCGCTGAGCAGATGGCGTCGTGTCAACAAAAGTTGACGCGAGTAGAAGAAAGCGGGGCAGGGCAGCGGGGCAGGAGAGAAGGCGATGCAGGCGACGCAAGGCGCTGCCGGCTTCCCATGCCCAGCAGCAGCAGCCAGGCAAGCCCACCCAGGAGCAGGCACGCACCTGGCACGCCTGCCACCGCCGGCGTAGGGTTCACCAGCACGACGATGGTGGCGTCGGCCACCACCGACACCTCCATGCCAGCGGGGCCTTCCGGGAAGGGGGCGCTGGGCGCCAGGCTGGGCTGGGGGCGGTGCAGGTTGATGTTGATGTTGGCGCCTGTCCTGAAGTCTGGCTTGGTGTCCGGGTAGGCTTGCAGCGTGATGGCGGTGCCCGCGCAGGCGGTGGGCTTGTTGATGGCCAAATACTTCTTGCAGCCGATCCCCTGCACGGCCACACGCGCGGAGAAGTGCACAGGTCGCGCCGCCCGCCGCCGCCGCCACACCCACAATACTGGGCAGCACCGCAGCGACGGTGCCCCAGCCGCCCATGGCTGGCTGGCAGGCCTCCCACGTTGAGCACGGCATGCGCAGCCTCCCGCCGCTGGAAAGGAAGAAAACACAAAGTGCGATCATGCCCGCAGGCCATGCTGCCTTGCCTGCGTGTGGATGGTGTATGCTCCGTTGGTTTGCAGGGTCACGGTCCAGGCCACCCTGGTGGCCAGGTTTGACAGGCTCAGGTCGTTCCTAGTGCAGTCAGGCGAGGTGAACAGGTAGGTGTCGCAGGTGCGTTCGTCCCGCCCGGCAGCCTGCACGCGCGCAGGTGGACGCGTGGCGCCTCATGCATCAGTGCGAGGCCCTGGGGCGGAAGGTGTTGCGCCTGCGCCAGTCCTGGGTACCCGGCACGCCCACGCTGCCCTCCTGCCCCAGCCAGCAGCGGCCCCACTCACCCTGATGAAGCGGGCGTTGCCGGCATCCTTGGTGAGGAAGTCAAACTGCATCTCCAGGCGGCCACGGAACCCGCTGGTGTCCTCCAGGTCGAGTTCCCAGGCGCCGGCGCCGCACGCTGGGTTGGCCTTGACAAGCGCTGCACCATGGCCAAGCAACAACGTAAGGCGGCAGCGGAGGCCGGGGAGGGCGCCACCGCAGCACCTGCCCCGACACGCCCAGCCAGGCACAGCCCTCGGCGGGCTCTGAAGACTGGTTGTGCTGCCTTGCATCGTCATCGCGGCACCAGCAAATTGCACCAGCGAATTGCACCTTCTAGGGCCAGTGCAGACAACGCGAGCGAGAGCAACGGCAACACACCCAAGTGCTTACCGGGTTCGTTCTTGCACTTGTCCTCCTTTATGCTGAGAATGTAGCGGGCGATTGACCTGGGCACGTTGGGGAGCGGGTTGAACCGCAGATTCTGCAGCGCAAGGGTGCAGCCAACACAGGTTCCCGCTCACAGCGCTCAGCACAGCAGGCAAGCAATGCCATGCAGCCACACTTGGCTTCCGATGCCACGTCCAGCTGGCTGACCAGCAGGGCAACCAGCGCCTGCTGCGTTCCTGGGGCCCCACCTGCATGTTGGTGTTGACCCAGTTAAGCATGCCTTTCTCTGGGAGCTGTGTGTATGCGCCAGGGGTGTCGGTAGCGCAGGGGTTGGGCCCCCAAGATACCAGGCCAACCTGCAGGCGACAGAAGAGGCCGCGGCTGCTGGGTTTTGGGGTTGCAAGCATGCAGCATGCAGCCCATCACAACGGCACATGCGGCAGCGCATGCCTGCAAATCGTTGGCTGGGTTGGCGTCGGCGGCCTTGAGGAACAGAGGGCCGCCTGCAGAGGAGGTGCACAGGCAAATATTAGGAGGGGAAAGGTCAGCAGCAGCTTGGCTCAGCATCCTGTGAGAGGTTAAGCAGGGGTTAAGGCACTCACCGCTGTCGCCCGTGCAAGTGTCAGTGTTTACCACCACCGCTGGCGAACCTGCAAAGCAAAGCAGAGGCAGGCAGGCAGAATCACAACCAAGGCACCAACAGCAGCACATGTTGCAAAGCAGGCAGGCCAGCAGCAGCATTAGACTTGAAGCTGTAAACAGCACATGAAGCGGCGTCTCCTGGCCCAGGCTGCTAAATACAGGAGGACCTGCACATGTAGCAACACGGCGCTGCTACGTCCGGCAGGGCAGGGTCTGCGCACCTGCGCACATCATCGTCGTCTGGTTGAATTTCGACTCTTGGTTCCACGGCCAGATTGATTTTTTCGTAATGTAGAGGTCAAAGCACTTTGAGTCGCTGACATAGTCCAGGGTGTTGATCTGCAGCGGCCAGGAGGAGAGAGAGCATGAAGAGCAGTGGGCGCAATGCAGAAGCGCAGGCATGAGGGCAGGCGCCCGACAAAGCAGGCATCGCGCCCGCCAGGAGCAAGGGCAGGGGGCTGGCCCTCTCTCCGCACCTCCATCAAAACAGTTGGCGTCACAGTTGCGGGCTTGTCGATGTTGCCCCAGCCGATCGCCGTGAACAGCTTCTGCGGCTTCCCCAGCAATGTAGCAAGCTTGGTAGTGTCTGCAGTGCACCAGGTAACGAGGTGGTGGGTTCAGCGGCAGCAGGAAATATTTTGGCGGAGACGTGTGCTTACTTGACGGAAGCTTAATGGTCTGTTTTGTCGAGGGCGTGTCAAGCCACAGAACAGCTATGTCGTACTCCTGTATGACAAAACGGTGCATACGCAAAAACAAGCAAAAGCAATTACATAAGGTTTCTTTTTTTTTTTCAAACATTTTTTTTGATTTTCAGAACAGCTACGCCATACCTCGTCCCGGTTGTAGCCCTCGTGGACAATGGCGCTCACCACCTGCCGCCGCTCAAAAGTCACCACGTCTGGAGAGTCGAAGTTGTAGGCCCCAATCCTCACCTGCAGCGAGTGGCCAGGGGCAGGCGTGCTGTGTCGTGGGAACCCTCATGCAGCCCCATGCGCAGCGCCAAGAAACACCTCACACAGCCCAACGCTTTTCAGGCAGGCATGGGCGAACCGCAGCAGCTGGCTGGTGGCAGAAACTCAGGGCTGGCTCACTATGGGCAGCGTATCAGTTTCGTCAGGGCCAACTGCTTTACTCCACTGGCTTGCTTGCTTGTTGCTTGTGTGGGCTTAAAGTCTGGTAAAGCAAGAACTAGCTTGCAACATAGACTCCCCGCCGAAACGGGACGGGAACCGGGCGAAAGCAGAGAAAGCAATAAAACAGGGGTGGAGCAAGGCGACATGCAACGCAAGCAGCTGACAGGGCACGCATCGAAACGTGTGTATGACTGGCAAAGTGGCATGGCGCATTGGGGAGAAACGCAACGGTACGGGAGCATGGGCTGGCCAAACGGCAGTGCGGAACGCTAGGTCACTAGAAAAGCAGGGAAAGGCGCACTATGTATGCAATGAGGGCAGCCCCGGCTCGGGGCCGTTGAGAAAGCAGTGGGCGGGAGGGGGGAGGCCCCGGTGTGGGCGGGCCCCATCGAGGGGGGATGGGGCGCGCAAGCGGCCAGATGGGGCGGGGCGCGGGCGGCAGTGGAGTCCTGCGGCTGGGTGGGATATAGGGCAATGAGCGTTGAGCAGTGTGCGATGAGCAATGAGCAATGAGCAGTGAGCAGCCCCTCCCTAAACAAAGTGAAGCGCAGGACGGGGTCCGGTGGATGGGAGGCAAGGAAACGCGGGGGGTTGCCACGTGCGCTACCGCCGCCGCCGCAGGCAGCACCCCTGCGGCGGCGGCAGCGGCAGCAAGCCGTGGACCCAAACGCCGTGCCGCCGCCGCCGCAGGCAGCACCCCTGCGACGGCGGCGGCAGCAAGCCGTGGACCGAAACTCCGTGCCGCCGAGTCCCGTGGCTGTGGCCGTGGGCTTCTGGCAGGAAACTACGGCCGCAGCTCGGCAGCACGGGGGCGTCGCAGCGTGCCGCCGCCGCCGCCGCGCTGCCCCCCCGGGCACGGCGGCGGCGGCAGCAAGCTTGGGCCCAAACGCCGTGCCGCCGAGTCCCGTGGCTGCGACCGTAGACCGTGGGCCGGAAACTGCGGCCGCAGCTCGGCGGCACGTGGTTCTGGTCAAATCGCCAAGCGTGCAGCAGCGCCGAACCACGCTTCCCGGCCTCGGCGCATGCCTTCAGGGGCCCCCTATCGCTGGGCACACCCCTCCAACACCGAACTGGCTCGGCCCTCCCTGGAAAATGCACTGCAGCCACAGGCCGCAGGCGCGCCGATACGGTTCAAGAGGTCCGCAAAGCAGGAACAACCACGCTAGGGGCTGGCAGGCAGCCAAATGGACTGCTCAAGACATGGATGTTGTTGGGCAGAGCAGCCGGCTGACGTGGCAGGGTGCCCTTCCAGGGGCATGCATGAGGTGAGCAGCCACTTACGTGAGCTGCTGTAAGCACCGTGCTTGGGCCGATCAGACTGCAGGGCAATAGGCAAGGGGGCGCTTGGGAGCTGGCAACCACTTGCCTCCATGCGCACTGGCAACACAGAGCAGAGAGCAGCGACGGTGCTGCACTGCTCTCAAAGCTGAGCAGCACCACACGCAACAGCCGCCGCAGGCCACGACACCCGATGGAGCACGTCGGCAGACGCGTACCTGCCGCCGCAGAACTGGCCGCCGGCGTTGTCAGTGGTGCGCAGCATGACCATCCACGAGTATCTGCAAAGGCCCAGATGTGGGGATCCAGGCAATCCAGCAGCACATCAGCTTTAGAAGCCTGCTGCCGTACCGCTGCCTGCTCTGGGTGGGATGGGGGTGCGCCTGCACTCGGCCGCACGAGCTGACTTGTGCCAGCACACCCAGCTGGCAACCCAAGCAAAACCCGCCCTGCAGGGCTGCTCGCTGAGCCCTGGCACGTCGCACCTGCCCGGGTTTGGGGAAGGCACGCCGCCGATGATGGCTGCATTGACCTCACCGTCAGCTAGAAGGGCGCGCCTGCAGGGTTGGGAGCACGCAACGCTGCCGCCGCGTGTGGGGCACAGGCTGGCATAACCGCACACAGCTGTATGCCGGTCAAACTGCCCGCCTGCATTGTACCCGGTTCAACCAGGCAGGATGCAAGGTCAGGAGGCCAGCAAATAGAGGCAGGCCCCTGCTGCATCTCCCGAGCCTGCGGCAGCGGGCACACACCTGCCGCCAATGGCGGCGCCGCCGCCGGCTAGGTCGCCACCGGTGGCACTGCGGGACGTCCTGCACATCAAGCTCAATCCAGGTGAACAGTAGCGTTGGGTTGCAGCTCATCAGGCGCTGCCGTCACGCAAGGAATTGTATAAAATCTGTGCTGCAAGCATGACTCTTGCTAACATACGGACTGTAAACCCTCTCAAGGCGGTGTGTGGCGGCGGCGGCGCCGGCCGCCGCCTGGGCCAGCGGGGTGCGGGGTGCGGAGTCCCCGCCCGGACAACTGTGCTGAATTCAGGGGCCATGTCAATGACCTAAAGCCGCTCAGTGCCGCGATGGCACACACAACAGGCGGAGGCTGCCCACCTGCTGCTCTCCTGCTCCGCTGCGTGCGCCACGACGGCCAACAGGACTGCCGCCGCCAGGCACCGGCGGAGTCTGCCCATGGCGGGGCTGGTGGGCCTGTGTTAGCCGCTGTGCAGCTCCCCGCTCAGCAGAGCACCCCACAAGCGCGCCGCTGGTGTCTCCCAGGACAACCCCCGCTGGGCAGCGGGCCGCGGCTGGGCGAGTGGGAGGAGCTGAGAGGACTGACACCGCTTTGCCTGGCTCAGATGATGTTGGTTTAAACTCTAAACCAAGCAGTGGAGGCTGCAACGTCCATGCATGCACAAAGGACGCCTTGGCCCAGCTCGAACAGGACGCTTCCAGCGCAGCTTCGGGGGGCCGAGCCGAATTGGATGCGATCCAAGCGCTTTGTTCCGCAGCGCAGCTGATGACCGTTCTGCTCATTGCTGCAATTCATGGGTGGCCGGGTGCCGCCGGTAGCGCCTACTGATGTGATGAGCATGCTTGCCGGAGAGCCAGGAGGAGCCTTCTGAGTGGCTTGCAACAGCAGCCTGCCACCTCGGCATCATCAAACCGTAAGCAGGGGGAGGCGGTCGGCGCTGCTCACCCGCTGCCGCCCCCGGTGCCCGCCGCCGCCGCCCGCCAGGACCGGCTGACGCCAAAGCTCCTGGTGCCAAACCTTCACCTCAAAGCATGCAAGCTGTTACATAGGCACAGAGCATGCCAGTCACTGCTGCGCCGTTCAGCGCCAGCGGACCTCGTCTGCAAACGCCTACCCTACCCAGCTGCCATGCCAGCCTTGCCCCGACAGCTCTCGACGCCTCGCTACCGCGGCGCCCGCTCCTGCCGCTGCTCGTCCCGCGCCTGCCCCTGGCGCCGCTGCGGCGCCAGCTCCAGCACCTCTCGCTTGTTGGACACGCCATCGTCCACCACGGCCACGGCGCGGCAGGCAAACACGCCGTCTGCCTCCACCAGCTGCCGGAAGGCCGCCGTGCCGCCGCCTACACCAAAGTAGTAGCTCTTGGCGGCCACATAGGCCACGCCGGCGCCGGGGCGCAGGCAGGCCTTGATGCAGCGGTACAGGCTGCGCATGGCTTCCAACGAGTAGATGGTCTCCGCTGTCAGTACCATGTCATAGCTCCCCACCAGCCCCAGCCCCTCCAGCACCGCCGGCAGCGCCTCCCAGCTGCCCGCAAAGTAGCGCGCCCGGGGGGGCTGCTGTGCTGGCGAGGAAGCAGACGCGCCGGGGGACGCGGCCGCCGCCGCCCGCCGGGTGGCCCAGGCGCCGGCGTTGGCTGCGACGTTGGGGATGGTCAGCCGGCTGAGCACGCTGCGGTTGTAGTCCTGCAGAGCAAAGGGGGGG